CTTGGTCATTGTGCCCGAAAGCAGAAAGGTTTGGGCAATGGAATCATTAATCCAACGATAAACACATCCGTGGCACCCGGAGTTCCAGTGTTTGCGTAACAACAATAACGCCGCAAGCGTTGTGCATCTGGCTGCAGAGATACGCCGGGTCACGTACGTCATTATTGCGCGGTCGATGCAACAAATTTTTTGGCGGGTCAGCTCAATAAAGTCTGGTGTTTTTAAATGTACGAACGGGGCCAAGCCGATAGCTTATCTCGAATAAAATGCAGAGCCCGATATGATTGAATATCTGGGTGCAGGAACAACTACCCCCTCCCGTATTTCGATTTCGTTTTACGATTGCCATGCTCGCGATCCGGGGATAACTTCGGTTCATTTCGATCACCGATTTATATTTGCATAGATGGCGACGTTAGGCAGAGATATGGCAAGAAAGTGGATATCGTACGAAAAATATTTAATCCGTGTTCAACGTCCACGTGTCGCGAGACTCTGACGTTCGACTTGCTTGGGGAAGAGGGGTGAAAAGGCGTGGATCCTTTTACGTTGCAGATCGATGGAACGCGGACCAGACTTTAATTCGATGTTCCGTTTCATTGCAGGGCTATGTACGTTCACGTACCTTTATATCCGCACACAGAGAACGGATAATTTGGCCCGTGTGTCTATTAGTACGGGTAACTATCCGTGGGATTCGTAATCTAGTTTCTAGTTTACCTTCGATCGAAGCCACGATCCGCGGTCGTGAAGGCGCAGATACATAGGTAAGCGGTGAGTTGCAGTTGCGGCAAAGTTCGAAATGCCATCTGTTCTGCGAGCCGTCATGCAGACGCATAGCGATTGATTAAAATTATTCCAAATTTCATTCTTCGTTCGCTTCTCGTGTTACGCGCAAACGATCCTGATTAATTGCCTTTTCGCTCGCAAATGTAACGGAGTTTGATTAAGCTCGTTATGCTACGCAGAACGATTACGTGCTACTGAAAGCAACTGCGAATGAAGGGAAACGACAAACAGCAGAGCTAAATAATCTCGCCTCTGCTCTGCGTTAAATGATTAGAAACAGAGAAAAGGTTGAACCTACAGAGCACGGGTTTCACGCTGAGAAAGCCGCGACGACGAAACTTTGTTATGTGCTACGCGTACTAAATTGCCTTCATAACCTCTACAATGCGCTATTACCTAGTTTACAATAGATACGACTGAAGTTTCTGATTGCATTTACTAGTTTTCAGTCTGCCGAGGGTATGTTTCGTCTTTGAATTCCTGAACGTCTTGAAATATTTAGATTCGACGCGGCAGAATGCTCGCGAAGCCGTAACAGTTGGTGAAAAATATTCTCTCCGCCCCTGTCAGGTATCCTTTGTACAGCATAAATAAGCAGTCCATGATATCGGCATTTATCGAGGAATAATGGCCACTTCTCTTTCGATCGTTCGCATTCGAGTGTATATACGTTTCTGGCGATACAATGCACGTTTTCCGGACACATAATTGTAGAAACGGAGCCGTAATTACCGGTCACGGGACATTTTTCAGTCACGCCTTCGGCTCTTGAAGCCGATCGAGCCGGAAATCGAATGAATCGTCTCCACCACTGTGTTACTGTTGCCACCACGGTCACCATCGGCAGCCGTTCATCGACGTCCAGCACCCTTCCAATGCATAACGATAGTCAATTCAATTTGAATCGCGGCCAAGCTCGACAGGACAGTTAATTTCGCACGAATGACGGCCCGGTTTTGTGAATTTGCAGTGCGATTCATTCAAGCGGATCGTATAGATTGCCCCTGTGTTCTTTTTCCCCGTTTCCCTGTCCACGGTCCACGGAAAATCGGCGCAGTTCTACCCGATGTATGAAAATCTCGCTTGTTCCGATTTTTAAATCCGGAAGAATTGTCCTTTCGAGGCTGACTCGCAACCATCGCTACTAATGTCGAGTCGTCTCGGACCTGCTTCCAATAAAGGCCAAAACGGACACCACAATCTCTGCTCCGGATGCTCGCTCTCTCTCTCTCTCTCTCTCTCTTTCTCTCATCGCTTCCCCTTTTCCCTCTCTGTCTCCATCTCTATATCTATCCTTATCCCTCGCATTCACGATGGCAAATGGCGCGCTCAGTTGGAGGGTGAATGAAACGAAGGCGTGGCGCGTACGTTGATTCATAGCGTGACGACTGTCATCCGAGAACCGAGTTGCGGAACATCGATTTAGAAGAATGGTCCCAAATTTGCTCGATTACTCTCGTTTTTTCCCTACCTTAGATTGACAGAATCGTGCTGATTAATGCCAGACATAAAGCACGCGGAAACTCTGCATTTTACGATAACGTTCTTCCCAAACGTCTACGCGGCCATCTTCTACGCGAATTCGTATCGTGCAGACAGGACGCGTTTCGAGCAATTTCAGCGCAATGACGAATCGATTATAAAGTTCGTAGATCATACGAGTTGCACTATAACGAAATGAATATAATGCTTCGACGGACTCCATACCAATAATTCTCGGATATCGACATTTCCGACATTGTAATGAGAAAAGTTCGTTTGGATAGAGAAGTGCAGTGCATTGGTTGGTCCGATAACTATTTGAATTTATAATGATCAGTGCTAGTATTTCAAAGACTCGTCGATTCAGGTAGTACTCCGCGGTAAGCCACAGATTGAAGAGGCTAAAGGAACTGGATTAATTAGTGGATACGTAGTATTTGCAACGTTCGAAGGGAATAATTATAAAGCCAGGCTCGAGGAAACATTGCAAGGGTTTCCTTTCTCTCCGAAAAACTAAATAATTTCAATTGGTTTAACCTCGGTTTTAACTTTGATTAACAATAAGCGCGCGAAGAATCGCTGCAAAGCTTTGTTCGAAAGTCCCTCGAGACGAGGATGCAGAATCTTCTGGACCTGCGAACGTATTTCGATTGGTTCGAGTAACTTCTGTTGGAGATTTGATGGTGAAATATATCGCGAGGCGTATGGTTTCTGGATTCTTCCAAGAGTCTATTGAAATGGCTACCGAGCTGCTGCTTACAGGCCACGCGTGGGTCAGTATAGATCCACTTGATCCATAGGCTATTCCGATGATGGTAAGTGTAGGCTGTTAAGCGGGTCAAAGGATATTTTCTTTGACCGTCTAAAACACTCAACAATATCCTCGTCAAGATGCGCGTTGAGATAGATAATAACGAAGACGAATCACTTGAACTAATGAAGAAGAGAAGAATCGAATAAGACCGCTGTCACTTTTGTGCAGATTGAAGATTAAATGAGCCTGAATAGGACGAAAGAGTTATTCGTTAACCGGCTTAGCTCGCAATCATTGTGGCTGATCGTTGAAAATGATTATGGATTGCCGGAACATCTTTGTTCCTGTAAATGAATCTCGCGTTCTCGGTTCAGCTCTACACACCTTGGTATCTAAACTCACGTACCTGGGCTTACAATTTGAGAGAGAAAACGCAGATGCTAGTGGTATTCTGCCACGAGAGGTATCAAGAAATTTGTCATCGCAGTTCTTTTTTATATTCGTATCATATCCCACACTATAAATTGTACACCGCGAGCAGAATAGGCGCGCTGGGTTGCCATTCTAGTGATAATCATGATTATAGAGATACGTTTATGGTCGTTTGCCAAGAGAAATGGTAACATCTACGAGGTAAAATGGTGCGCGAAAAGCGCATACAGCCTGGTTCTTATTGCGCTATAGTATGGTAATCCGGCAAAGTGTGAAAAGTTCTATGAACGATTATTCAGTAGGGAACAATTGCTAGCGCTACTTCATGGAAATTAGATCGAGGCATAAAACTCTTTCGTCTAATTAGAACGCAATATCTTTATCGATAAAAGCTTACGCTTTAAAAGGTTAAAGGTCTCGCGAGGATTAATCGCGCTCTCACGATAGTTCGCGTTATTTCAGGATGGTTGCTGCCTGGCTGTCCAATTTACTTCTCGCGACGTCGACGTGAAGCCAAATTTTACGAATCTAGTCGCAAAGTATCCGATTATAGATTATACTCGATTAAACGACTCGATACTTTGTCGTTTATTTTCGTTGGTTTTTCATAAACCTGACATATTATAACCAATTAGCGGTAATTTAGTTAGACAATCCGCCACTCTGGAGTTAATTTAACCGATATGGTGTCAAGTGTTAATAAATCTAATTGGAGGGATAAATTGTCCCCTCGAAATATATCCGTCGTGTCAAGATTTACTCGAGAACGTGATTATCGTTCGAGTAAATCGACAGATTTGCAGTTTACGCGTATTAACGCGAGGCGCTGTAGCGGAAAGTTTCAAATTGTAATAATCCACATTGCTAACGAGAGATTATTCAGCTTTCACCAATAACGGCCTGTGCAATGGTTAAGGTTTCTAAGTGTTCCCTGTCCCTTTGTAGCCATCGATCAGCGCGATCACAGTGACACGGTTGGCAGTTTGCGCGGAGTGACCAACCGCGATACTATGGTTGAATAGTGAGCATGGTTTGAGCGATCTCGCATGGTCGATGGACTCGCATAAATTAGAAGCGTTAATATGCGTTAGGGCAATCCCATCTCGGTTATTGCCCAAGGGATCATATCGTCGTTACGCTCGTTGGCATTGCAATTTTGCAGCATGTGATTCACCGAATCGTGAAAAACACAGATTACACGATCCCCGGTAGAAACGATTAATAACAGCGGAGAAAATAAAACGCGTTACACCTAGCTACAATTTCTCTCAATGTCACTGCTTCTTCGAGCAAGGTCCATACATTTCGCGCGTAAGCCTGTTTGCTTTTACGTTTCATCCGCGAAGACGTAGTCGCGAATTATGATATTATCGGAGACAATGATACACGTTTATCCGGTGTATCGGAATCAATCGATAAGCACCATTAGCAGTTGCATTACTGCGGGAAGAAAAATAATTTACGGATTAACGTGTATGCATAATAAAAGCGGTGTCACCGAAGGATTTTGATTACGGCGGTTCGGTCCCGGCGTGTGTCGGCGATGCCGGTGTCGCTGGCGCTGATTGGCCGAGTGGAACGCGGCGGCGGCGCCCATTGGTCGGCGCGTGGAGGTGCGTTCGATAGCCCGGCTCGAACCCCCAGTACCCGGCAGAGCCTCGTACGGGAAACTGCTCCGTTTACGTGTCGCTACTTTCGAAGCTCCGAAACTCGTCCGCGGACCGCGTGCCAGCGTTACTTTTCGCCGTCCGTTCCTCATTTTCTCCTTTCTTCCTTATCGGCCTCCCTCACAATCCACCAACATATTCTCTCGCGTAAACACCGCGATCCAGCCGTTCACTTCCGTTCCCTTCTTTCCCCCGTCATACATTGCTTTCGTTAAGCGTCGCGCCAGAGATTGCGCGTCAAGTTTCGCGACGCCGTTGTTTTTTTCCGGCAGTCAAGTCGAGCGGCGCGACTCCACGAATCTTTCGACCGCCGCCGGGTGTCGTTACGTGCTTTTATTGTGACTGAACCCTTTTGTGTTCCGCGAGCCCTCGTTTATCCAGTGCCTCTTTTGTTGCTTTTTGAGGATTTTTCTTCTGCATCCTGCGAAACCGAGACTCCACGGGAGATCGTTCCTGCTCCGCAACCTCCATCGTGCTTGGTAAGTAACCATTTTTCTTTCTATTAACCGCTTCCTGTTTTTCCAATCTCTATTCTAGCGAAGCTGCTCACCTTTCTCACCGCGCGTCGTATTCTCTAGATATAACGCGTAGTATGCGACTCTAGTAGCGACGCTCTGGAACGTTTGTTTTCGTCGCGGTGGTAGGACGTATCAGGCACGTCGAGTGTTTACGAGCGAGGAAGCCGCAGAGTGCTCGGGTTCATATTTTCGAAAACGTTCTCGACAACATTGCGCGGACGTATTCGAGGTCAAGTAGAGTAAGAATTCCCCGGTATCCGCTGTCGAATACCGTCCTACCTCTGCCTTTGTACACGCCGGTTATTTACCCAGGGACATGTACGTTTGTGAAAAATCACGGGACTTTTAGCTTACGGATTCGATGTAAGATCCGTATTCAAAGAAGCCGTAAATATTTACCGATCTCGGAAAGCGTCTCACGCCAGGCGTTCCTCAACGTCGCTGCTTCCGCGTTGACATTTGTCATGCTTCATTCAATATTTGACTTGCCGCGGTTACCCCGATTCGCGCACCGACTTTATTCCACCATTATGTCTGAAACAATGAAGCACGAGGAGCGTTCGACCGAGACCATCGGGTTACCGAGTATTCTCGATCGAAGGTTCGCGAAAAATGTTTCGAGATTCGGAAATTAGTTTTACGATTCTTTTTTCTTTAATTACACGGGGTTGATACTTTACTGCTGTCAAAACGAGGAATTCTAACCTGGAAAATTTGCTAGCGCGTTTCCTGCCGGTTCATCGAACCTCGTTCGAGACCTTAGCTCGTACTGGAACGAGACTCGAATAGGTTTTCCTAGCTTCTATCTTCGGATTTTAATCGCGTGTATGTCCGAGAGAATGAAGAGAGAATAGGAGATTTTCTGAATTACGGGGATCGAAAACTAGCGTCGTATACCAAAGACTAAGTCGTCGCGATGGGTCACAGGGAGGGATTGAACGGACAAGTTTCGAACGCCCTTCTACCAAACTCCCACACAAACTGTCCTGCAAATATTTATATACGCGCACTGACTTTCGGACGTTCCTCTAGGAGCCAAAAGACCATCCTGGAGAACGGTGTAAAAGGGGAATAATTATTGCCAGGTGTAAAAGTGCTTAATAACGCGACGAAGTTGGAGCATCGCGATTGTTTAAGAGTTCCTTTTTGGAAGGGGAATTTTGATACTCCGATTCGTTTTACGATACCAGTCAGGGTGGTAAATGCGTTATGAAGGGCAATAATACGGTTAAATTGTATCACGCGTGCACGCGTTGTTTAATCCGCGCGAGTTTTTCAATTTAACGTGTTCAAGATTCCAACGCAGTGGCCATTTGCGAACGTTTCTACCTAATTTATATTTTCCCCGCATGCACGCGCACATGCTGCAGCAATTTTATTTTCGCGTTTTACGAGACGGAGGAATTCGCGGATGAAAAAGTGGGCAGATCTTTTTCACGTACGACGGCGGATCGCTTCAGCTTCCTGCCGTGTACCCCATCACAGTTCTACGGATTATTTATAGAATATTGCTATATCTGCAATATGTAGATAACCACACCGCGCCGATATTGGTTTTACGTTCGCGGATCCTGCACACGTGTACGTGTATTTGTTTCGAATGCAAAGGGCCGCGAGTCGGTATCGAGCGAGACCGGTATTTTCTATAAATATGTACATGTACGTCGAGCACGATCAACTTTTAAGAGCCTGGATGCGAGGCTTGCGAGAGGGAGAAAGAGAAAGAAAGAGATTGTTCGCGTGTGTTGGTGTGCGTCGGCGAGAGAGAAAGAGAGAGGACGTAAATTATATTTTAACGAGACAAAAACCCTTTCGATCGTCAGTGGATCCATTGTTTGCGGGCAAAGGAGAGGCACAGGGCGGCCGTTGAAGAGAGCGCGAGAAACGAGATGTCTTGCATTTCTTCTCTTACTTTTCCCCCTTTCTTTTTCATTTCACTACGGTGCACGTTATTGCGAAGTGAAATTCGCACGCTAGAAGACGAAAATCTTTTCTTCTCGTGCTCGATCGTGTTTCAGTTTTGTTCTCATCGTGCGCGCGCGCATATGTGCATGTATACGCGATATTTCTTCGCAGACGTGCGATCGTCTGCCTGGCGATTTTTGGAAAAATATCCGACGAAGAATTAAATGGCGCAGGTCTAGGAAGATCGTTAAAGAGAGAATCGAGCCACGAATTTCATTTCGCCGAGTTCTTTTTCTTTGGCCGGCAAAGTCAGAGCAGTTGGAATATCCACTTTAATTCCCGACTCCGTAATGGCAAACAATTAAAAGCGTAAAATTTTCTCCGCTCTCCTCTAAGGTTTATTATTCGTCGTGGCAACAAAATAACAGTACAGGAAAACACGTTATTAGAGGAAAAGAACAGACGGGGAATTACTTTGCCGTGGTAGGCGTCCGGAAAAGCGGAATTCGTTAAAGTTCCTTTTTGTTGTGCAACAGGAAACTCAGATTATATCTTATTACACGTGAGAACTCTGTTGGCGCATTATCTTCGCGCGTATTTCAGGATCGTAATCGTATCCGTGAAATGCCGCGATAACTCGTGTGTGCTTGTGCATGACACGTGAGAAAGCAAAGGGGAGCTTACATTTTTTCGCCTAACTCTCGTTGCGGATAGATTCGGGCGGCCGTCATACGTTCCTGTGAAAATTTAAACTTTCGAATTTTGAAACGAACGTTTGAAATGCAACGGTGAAAAACTGACCTGTCCCCATTTGAAATTTATCGCTACCGAGAGACCCGGTCATCTGCATGTGCGCGCGTACATGTGTACGCGAACCGAACTTTTCTTTGTTCGCTTTGGCCTGTTCCTTTTTCGCGGAACGTTGTTCTTATTCACGGACTTGTAGCTTCGATTGCGATTTATCGATTCGCGGTCAAAGAAGCCCTCGAGGTTAGGCTAGCCAAAGAGGGGTACGTGCAGAAAAGCGCGGTAGAGGTTCAACGAAGCATAGCCCTCGAGAAGGTTACGAGAGGTGACTAGAGAGCTGCTGGAGTGGCTGGAGCACCAACGCGAACAGGACTCGAAGAACTTGCGGGAAACCTAATTCGAGGACGTTCGTACCGATAGTAGAGACAAGGGTCTCATGCATATTCAGCGTATTTGTGGTCAGAACAGGCTGGTAACTCATTGTACTGGAAGGCCCCCAGCATTTGCCTTACCTTGACGCGAAGGGTAGGAACATGGAAATTGGCGAGGGTTGAGCGTTCGTTACTCGAAAGCGACGCGACAGGTGAAAGGGCTGTCCGTCTTGCACCCCTCTTTCTCTTCGCGCACCTGGCCGATTTAATGACTTTGTTCTAAATTGAAATGGCCTTGGAGCGTGTTTCCGGGGCCACGTAAGTCTGCTCCTTCCTGACAATCTCTGGTTTCGCGAGCAACTGTCTATCTTCGATCTTCGTATCAGAGAATATCGAAGACTAGAGAACTATCTATCTTCGTATTAGGAAGGTATCAGAGGAAAAGGAAGATGCTCTTTTTCTTCCCGATTCTTGGCTGCAACTCGAACCGTTATCGTAAACGCCACCTTTCCGACTCTGCTAGGTAGCCATTGCCTCTGCTAGCGTTGATGTCACCGCTCGTTGGATATAAAAGACGTTAAAGGCATTAGGCTATCAACGCGTGTATTCTCCGCAACGCGATGCCCGCAGCGTCCAATTGTGTTTTCCTCGCTACTCGTCCACTCGGTCTACGTTATTTTCTGCTTTTCAGCAAATAGCGTTAATTGGCCAACCTCGGGCAGTTGGGTGTAACGACTGGCTCGAATTTACTGATCTGCCTCATCCAACAACGTTTGCTCGGTCTCGTGGTTGCGAGTTAAGTACATGTTTATCTCTCAACGAATTCGTCACTGACGCTGCATCAACGAGAGCAAATCGCAGCTATGAAACGGTATCCACTTCATGCGAGATACCGTTTCACTGTCGCGAATTTCTGACAATCAACGATAGACGAATCGTCTGTTTCAATTGTAGCAACACCTCGTGTCTTTTCTGTACTTTCGGATTCGGTGTTAACCCCAGTGAGAAAGCAGCAGTTTCGAATGGCAAGAAAGGGTTGCGGTAAATTTAGGAGGAAAGAAGCACGCGAGAGGGTAGGTTTTGGAGGACGTTGTTCGCTGGTTGACTGGAAACGCGGGATTTGCATATCAATAGGAAATGTTTATCGATGACTTGTCCTCTGGGATAGAGATACGGCAAAGGAGAGAGAGGCAGGGTGGTAAAAAGTGTACTGTCACGGACAGGAGTCTCGTTACGCGTGGATACTGGGCAAGGCTTGGGAGGAAACGGGTGGAGATACCCGAGATGCTCTCTTGTTATTTTCAGCGTCATTTCATATTTCACAACGTTTGTTCCTTTGAAAAATGTTTCGATGGACCGTTGTCTTGTATTCCTTGTACGGTAGACCGATGCATCGATCAACGATCGGACGAGAGCGAAGACTCTTGAAAGAAGAATTCTCGTGGAAGTTTCGCGTATTTTCCTTTGTCTTTGGCGAAAAACACGTCGACGTATCAGGATTCTATATTCTTCTCCTCCGGCTTACAAGCTCGCTGGTGTGCTATTCCAATGGAGTTACGCTACCAAAAATTCTCCGCTTGCCTTTGGAACCCTCGACTAGTACTTTGCATATGCTCCACTGTGTCGTGGATAATGCACGGCTGTAGGACTGCTATTTCCTTCAACCAAGGACAATTTTGCACATTGCAGTCACGTAAGCCTTCCCCGCTTGCTCGCTCCCCTTACCTGATTTTGGATTCCTCGCTGCGCCCCTTTCTCGAGGTCAAAATATCATTCGGCTTGCGCGCGACGTAACACAGTCTTCGAATCGTTTTCCGTTCCTTCCCGACCATCGGTTTCCACGTCGCTGCCAGATATGATTATCCGCGATTTTTCGAGCTTACGTCGTTTCCTGTCGCGTCGCAGCCAGTGTTATCGGTGTTGCCTTTCGGAAGATCG